CCCCCCGCCACGTCTGACCCCAGGGGGACCCTGGATTCCTCCCCCTTGATCCGCTCACCAACATGTTCGTTCATGGGAGGCTCTAATTAGGGAGAATTAGCGGGGGCAACTTGGCCCAGCACTGAGCAAACAGGATTTTATCTGGCTGCCGGGCACTTTGGACTGAAATTTATCCTTCTTTGAGGCTGCGGCTCTGGGTGGAGAGTGGGGGGGGGACGGGGACACTGGGGGGACTCGCTCCCCAAACCCTGTCCTGCCCCATTGACTGACCCACTGGGGGGGGACACCTGATTTCAGCTGCTCATCCCTGCATGGGGTGAAAATCCTCCCCTCTGCTGCGATCAGCACGTCTCAAGTGCACCAGCCCCACTAATTTTCAACATTATTCAACATATTTAACATTAAGATTTGCTGATTGGGATTCCCGGGGAGATTATTTCAGTGAACAAGTCCCCCCCCCCAAAACTCCCAGCCCCGACACGTCTCTGGGGGCTGGGGGGACCCTGCAGGGAACGGCAAGAGACTCCCAACACCTTACGTGAATAAAACAAACTTTTAATAATGTACAGCAGAAATCGACAGCCTTGTTTTTATATTAAACAAAAGATTTCCTATATTACATCGTATTTACATTTGCATACTGAAGAGGTAAAGTGTCTAAGTGGCTATTTTACAGTCCGTTTCTAATAAAATATACAAAACGAAACAAATAAAAAGGGTCAGATAAGTACCAAGAGAATCTGTTTCTGAAGCCAGCGTACCACGGGTCCACCCTGCGCCGTACCTGCCTCCCCCCAGCACCACCAGCCCCCCCGGCACCCCCCGGCCCTGCTGGTGGCATCTTCTCCTCAACTGCCCATACTGGGACATTTTTCCCCGGCTGCTGCCACCAACATTTTGGGAGTTGGGCACGTTCCTGTGTTTGCTGCCCCTCAGCTGCGTGAGCACCGCTCCTCCCGGCACGGCTTTTGTGTGAAAAGTGCTGTGTAAATGCTACATAATCAGCGTTCCTGGCGCCGATCCACCCTGGTTTTGGCATCTCTCTACAAACCAGTCTTCTCTCTTGTAGGGGGGGGGGGTTCCCTGTCCTGCCCCTCGCCCCCGGGGGACCCTCTCCGGCCCGAACCGCTGTTTGGTTTAGCGCTGAGGCAGATGCATGTTGTGGCTACAGTTTGGGGGTGGGGGGAGCGGGTGGGTGCGGGTCACGCAGCTGATGCGGTGCCCTGGAGAAGACCCCGCGCCGTTAACGGGGACCGGAGACTCGTGGTGGGACACTGGAGCCCGTGGGGTTGGCAGGGGGACGGGCAGCAGACGGACCCACCGGCATGGGGGGGGGGCTTTCCTATGGCAGTTTAATGTCACAGTCTCCAAGACTTTGTCCCCAACCCAGCAGGGTCCTGTTAGAGCAGCTGAAGAGCCCACCCACCACCTTGGTTTCTGAACGCAGAAGGGTTTGGTTAAAGAAGATAAATGTTCCACAGACACACGGGAACCTCGGCCTGAGATCCGAGGCCGGACAAACCGGGAAGGAAGGGAAGGGAAGGAAGGGAAAGCTGGACATTGAGGACACGGACACGGGTCCCACCACAGCTCCGCACCACCTGGCCCCAAACTCCACCGGGAGGAGGAGGCAGAACGACTCCCAACACGAGGCAAAACACACTCCTCACTTTACACAACATCACAGACAACTGGGGGAGTCTTGGGGAGGACGGACACACGGACGGATACACAGACAGCAAGAACAGAGTGTTCCAAAAAACAAAAAAGTTTAACCCCGGTGGCCGGAGCAGAGATGAAACCTCCCCTCACGGAGCAGGCGCAAGGTTTGAGTAGAAACAGTTCCAGTGTAAATCGAGCTGTGTGCAATTGGGTTCTTTTTTTTCCTTTTTTTTTTTTTTTTTTTTTTTTTTGCAGTGATTTCTTTACAAACAAACAGGTCAAGAGGTAATAATTATAGATTGGTTTTTCTTCTCTTATAAAGAATTAACAACATTAAAAAAAGTTAAAATCCAGACCCTCCCATGAAATAATTATAATAATAATAATAATAAAAAAAAATAATAATCAAAACCACTCCAGTTAAAATTTATGGCTTCAGAGTTCTATACCATAGATACTGACCTAACCACCACACAACCAGCACTTCCCAGATTGCCTCGAACGACAGACCCCGGCCTCAGCTGCTGCAGACAACAGTCAAACTCACCCTGATCTGGCTTTTCATCGAAAGAAAATTCATGCAGTTCCCCCCACCCCACGAGTTATACACAGCCATTTCCAGATTATGAGATATTTATATACGTATATTAAAAAAAAAAAAAAAAAAAAGATGGGATTTCCAAACCTGCACCTCACTGTCGGACCCCGCTGGGCACCGAGTGCCTCTGGGAGGTGCAGAGCAGCCCCGGCCCCGGGGGTGCCTGGATGGTGGATTTGGGAATCACATTCCTGCAGCTCCCCATGTCCCATCTCCTTCCAGCCAGGCAGTGCCTGCTCCACCTCCGACACCCAGCTCAGCTCCAGGGACATCCCCTCTCTCTTTCCACCCTACCAAGAATTACAAACCCCGGGAGCTTGAGACAACAAAAAAACCCTGGATTCCAGGAGTGAAGTCAGTTCCTCATTTGTTTTGTTAAAAAAAAAAAAAAAAGGGAGGGGGTGGCAGTGAGGCAACCTGATGGGAAGTTCCTGCAGCCGGCGTAGCGACGGCGAGGCCACAGCACCCATGGCAGAGCTAAGGACCTGGTTTCAAGCAGCCTGTCCAAGCCAGACAATGCTCACGACTCGACAAGGAGAGCACCAGCGCGCACAGCTCAAAAAAAGGACACTCTAAGATTTGCACATGCACAGAAAGCACGAACAAGAGATGAGCCACCCTACGGGCAGACACCGCACATCGAGGGGAGGAGATGAACAGGCACGGGGGACACGCGCGCCTCGCGCATGCATACACCACTGCACACACTGACAGCCAGTCAGAGTCCTGGGCTTCGACTTCGGGTTTTTTCAAGCTTAAGAAAAAGGAGGGAAACGGTTTCGTGAAGCTGATAAACTGTTCAGGCTCAGCCTCTCAGAAGGGAGCACCATTTGTTTTTGCAAACGCTTTTTCTGCATGAACGTGCCGCCAGTCCCTGGAAAAAAATCCTCAGAACACGGCAAGAAAAACTTTCCCTTTCCCTTCCCACTCCCAGCACCTCACACCCCGGCCCCAACTGCGGCCGAGGGCTGCGCCGCGCGCTCAACTTTACAGGGATTTCCGTTAAAGAGACAAGGATTACGATCGTGGCTGAGATCCCTCAGGTTTAAGTCCCTCTCGAGTCTTCACACTGTCAGGAGGTGATCATAAAAGGTTTCTGATTGTTTCATACCCAAGCAGGGCAAAGAGCTATCCAATAGGGCTCCGTCACCCCACCGAGCAGCCTGTAGGTCATGCTGTCTGGTTGGTAGCAGTAGATTGGGCAGAAACACGAGGTAGGCCTCCGTCACATGTCTACTCTAGCATGGCAACTTTTGTGCAGTTTCCTCCTGCTGGGGGCTCAGAACTTTAGATTTTCACATCTTCCTGGACGCTGAGCTGTGAGAGGGTTTTCTTAATGCGGAGGGCGGTGAGCCGAGCCGCCCCGTTGGCGTACCAGCACTCCCGCATCATCTTACCCATCACCCGCAGCGCCTGGGCAAGAGACAACACCAAATGTCAGAGCTCTCCTCCTCCCCGACCCCAAATCACTCTGCCAGGCTGCTGCTGCCTGGCTGGACACGGCTACAGCCTCCACACCTCCTGCAGCTGGAGCCCAACCCACAGTGCTGCTCTGGTTTGAGCAACACAGGACTAATTTTTCTCCTAACGCCTGGGAAAACTGCACTTCCAGAAGACCCTGGTGTCTGAACTGGTGAAAATGTTTACTTTTTCGCCAGCTCTGGGGTGTGGGTTTCAAGGTCTCAGTGTTTCTGAGGTGTGGGGATGAGGAGGAGCGAGACCAGGCACCTGCCCCAAGCTGCCAACAGGGTTATTTCATCCCATGAATGGCACATTCCATAGAAATTTGAAAGTTTGCTGAGGACTTCTCTCTTTCTCTCTCTCTCCCTTGGTGGCTGCCACCCTGAGAACTCCCTGACCCAGTGCCCGAGTCCTGAGCCCTTCCCTTCCTCCCGAAGCCCCAGCGTTCGCAGAATCCCACACTGGCTGTCTCTGTGGGAGAGAGGTCCAGCTTCCTGTGATAGAATGGGCTGGGGATGGTCCTTGGGTATTTTATATTGGTATTGGGATCAATATTGGTTCTTTAGTGTTATTAATGTTCATTAATAAATCTTCTTCTACTACATCTGTTTATATTCCAACCCTCGGGTTTCCTTGCTTTTCCCAATTCCCCTTCCCGGGTGTGGAGGGGTCATCGGGTGAGAGAATAACTTCCTTGCTTTTCCCAATTCCCCTTCCCGGGCGTGGAGGGGTCATCGGGTGAGAGAATAATTGTATAAACAACAACAAACTGTTGTGGGTTTCTCAAACCGTAAGAAATACTTACACTTCACTCACCTTATGGAGGGGGAAGGGGGTGTGAAGACAAAAGCAGACCTTACCTCGTAGCTTTGCCACCAGTTCGGGATATTGGGCCGTAATTTCTGATCACATACGACCTTCCGCATCTCCTCGATAGAAGGATCAGAGGGTACCAGGTCGTAGTAGGGAAGCTGATACTCTTCGTGGATACCTGAAAGGCAGAGAAGGGGAAATGTGGTTTTTGGGAGAAGGGATCATCCCCGCGGCGCTCGCCGAAGCTGCTTGGGACTCCGTGACTCATTGCTGAGATGCGTCAACACTTTGCAGTTATTTAGAACAGAAATGGAGAGTCTGGGATTTGAGTTTAGAAGAAAAATGCAAGGAAATAAAATGCAGCTGCCCAAACTGGAACGGAGTCAGCGTGCTGCCATCAACACCTCCCAGCAGAGGCAGGGCCACCGCATCTCATCGAGCTGAAGGCAGGACTGTCACAGGCACCGCAGCGCTGCGCTGCTGCCTGCAGCTGGACGTGCCCAGATGCACACTTACACCAATTTGGAGGAAGAAAGTCACCCACCAAATCCATCCAAAGGACCATCAGCCACCAGTGAGAGCATTAACCCCCCACCTCCCCACATGGAGCAGTCTAACTGCAGTTGTGGGTCACTTCTGTTAACTCCCTCAGTAGCAACACGTCTCCTCCCGCAGCCCCTCCAGGCTCCCCGCATTAACCCCCCACCTCCCCACATGGAGCAGTCTAACTGCAGTTGTGGGTCACTTCTGTTAACTCCCTCAGTAGCAACACATCTCCTCCCGCAGCCTCTCCAGGCTCCCCTCACTGAATTTCACTGAATTTTTAGAGTTGGAAGGGACCATAGAGATCATCCAGTCCAACTCCCCTGCTGAAGCAGGATTGCCTAGAGCTTGTCAGAGCACGTTACTCAGGACGGCATCCAGGTGGGTCTTGAAAATCTCCAAAGAAGGGGACTCCACACCCTCCCTGGACAGCCCTTTCCAGGGCTCTGCCACCTTCACCGTGAAGAAGTTTTTTCTGCCCGTTGCCCCTCGTCCTCTCACTGGGAACCACTGAAAAGAGTCCAGCTCCATCCTCCTTCAACCCACTCTTTAGGTACTTATAAGCATTGAGAAGGTCTCCCCTCAGCTTTCCCTTCTCCAGACTAAAGAGTCCCAGCTCTCTCAGCCTTTCCTCGTAAGGGAGATGCTCCAACCCTTGAATCATCTTCATTCCCTTTTGCTGGATTCTTTCCAGTAGTTCCCTGTCCCTCTTGAACTGGGGAGCCCAGAACTGGACGCAGTATATTCCAGTTGTGGCCTCACCAATGCAGAGCAGAGGGGGAGAATGACCTCCCTCAACCTACTGGCCACACTCTTCCCTACGCAGCCCAGGATTCTGTTGGCCTTCCTGGCCACAAGAGCACCCTGCTTGCTCATTGTCATTTTGCTGTCTACCAGGACCCCCAGATCTTTCTCTTCAGAACCTGAAACTTGCAAACCTCACAAACACCCAGGCTGGGAAGCCCAGGAGGAAGCCAAGGCGACGGCGTGGGCACACGAAGGGCATTACCTCCTGCATTGCACCTCCGAGCAATCTCCCAGTAGACCAAGCCCAAGGCATAGATATCAGCACATTTAAATGAATCAAAATGCTTCATGTTAATGGTTTCATCCAGGACTTCAGGGGCCATGTATCTGCAGAACGGAAGAGGAAGAACATGTTAATTTTGAGAGAGGATTTTCTGGAAGACAGTAAATGGCAAGCTTTCCAACACAGCATTTCCAAGTAGACAAAGCTCTGCTCTGCACAGCCTTAATCAGAACAGAACCGGACCCCGCGGTCTCATAGAGTCAACAGAATAACTCAAAAAGAATAGCAAGTTGGGAAAGAGCTAAAATCATCCTAAAGCACATCGGGCTCCAGACAGTAGGCCCCAAAAGGCTTTTGAGAATGCTAAGCTTGTTGTCAAGCAGTGTATGAGCTGCCTGGTGCCGAGTTCATGCAGCTGGACTAACAGCTCTCGGCTGGATGGCACCCGAGACGAAGGTACTGATCCCTTTGGCATCCCCCTGTATGAGCTGCCTGGTGCCGAGCTCACGCAGCTGGACTAACAGCTCTCGAGACGAAGGTACTGACAACCCATTGGCATCCCCCTGGGCACAACCCGACACTGGTGAGACACTTGGAAACACCTGAAGACAGAGAATTTCACCAGTGCTCAATCAGCAGCTCAGGCCTTCGCCTTCCAACACCGTTCTCCTACCGTTTGGTTCCAACCCTTTGATTTGGTGCAATATCAATTGTATCCGTAACCGAGTCGTGCCGGACGGCCAGGCCGAGGTCAGCGATGGCACACGTGCCGTTCTTCTTCACCAAGATGTTCTTGGATTTCAGGTCCCTGTGAGCAATCCCAGGCTTTCCTAAGAGAGCAAAATAAAGAGGAGCAGGGGGTCAAGGTCTGTTGAAATCTGTTGGTCAAACCGGCACCGAGGCAGCACCGGATCCCGGGGCGTTCGTTAAATTCCCGGTGTCGCAACACATTTTCCTGTTTGGAGACAGTTCAGGGCTGAGGAACAGCGTGGTGCTGCCAACCTGCTCACGCTGCAGAGGCTCCACTGATGCAGTAGCACCCAGGAGCCTCAAGAGGGACATCAGCTCCACCATCCCAGGCACCAGACACATCCATGGGGCACCTAAGTTTGTACTTCTGCGTGTTCTGTAACTTTGCGTTTTAGTTAGGCCTTTTCTAACTCTCTGAAATTAACGGCATATTGTGGAGAAAACTGTTCCTTCTCAGAGTGATCAGACCAATGTTTGTGCTACATGCCAGGGAATGGTGAGCAGAGAGGCCCTGGCTTATACGTATTGCTGTAACAACCAAGGTCAGCCAATTTTCGTTATTTGCCCCTTAGAGGGTCGGAAACGGAAAAAAAGTAGAGGGGTCACATCTGTGGGGAGGAACGGACAGGAGAGGTGACCCAAACCTGACCCACAGGGGTGTTCCATCCCATCTGCCCCATGCTCAGTATAAAAGCTGAGGGATCAAAGGGTCAACTCTCTTCCTGCAATGGCCGACGTCCAAAGAGGACCCTGTCTGTTCGTCTGCCTTTGATCCCCATGTGTTCCCGACTCCAGAGCTGGAATCCTGCTCCTGTCCATCACCGAGTCCAGTCTGGGACCTCCCCAGTGCCTGCTGGTGACGGGACTGTCATCCTGGGAGCTTGATACGGTTTTGTATCTATGTTGTATCTATTTCATTATTTTCTTCTCTTTTATTTTAATATTATTTTTGATTAAAGTAGTTTAGTTAATTCTAAACTTTTCAATCTCCTTATCTCTTCCTCTCCTCTTTCAGGGGGGGGTGGGGGGAAGGGCCATCTGTTGGTTCGGTTGCGGTGATTTCGGCTGAAACCACAACACTGCCCTAACACCCCACCCAAGCAGCATCAATTTTAGGACAGGGATGTGAAATCAAGTTGCCCCAGGGGAGGTTCAGGCTGGATATTAGGAAAAATTTTTTCACTGAAAGGGTTCTCAGCCCTTGGAATGGGCTGCCCAGGGAGGGGGTTGAGGCACCATCCCTGGAGGTGTTCAAAAGCCGGGTTGATGTGGTGCTGGGAGGTCTGGTTTAGTGATGATGCTCCTTGTTTGTTGTGGGGGTGTCTATTCTTGTCAGTCAGGTTGACGGTTGGACAAGATGATCTTTAAGGTCCCTTCCAACCTAGAAGATTCTGTGATTCTGTGAAATGCTGCTGTAACTATCAGAGGGTAACGTGAGGCTGTGCAGCCAGAGCAATCAGTCTGTGCCTGGCATCAATTTTAGGACAGGGATGTGAAATCAAGTTGCCCCAGGGGAGGTTCAGGCTGGATATTAGGAAAAATTTTTTCACTGAAAGGGTTCTCAGCCCTTGGAATGGGCTGCCCAGGGAGGGGGTTGAGGCACCATCCCTGGAGGTGTTCAAAAGCCGGGTTGATGTGGTGCTGGGAGGTCTGGTTTAGTGATGATGCTCCTTGTTTGTTGTGGGGGTGTCTATTCTTGTCAGTCAGGTTGACGGTTGGACAAGATGATCTTTAAGGTCCCTTCCAACCTAGAAGATTCTGTGATTCTGTGAAATGCTGCTGTAACTATCAGAGGGTAACGTGAGGCTGTGCAGCCAGAGCAATCAGTCTGTGCCTGGTCAATAGAATCATAGAATCATTGAGGTTGGAAGAGACCCTTGGGATCATCGAGTCCAA